ATAAAATTCTAAGCTCATAAACATTTTCCCTGATGTCTCAATAGTTGATAGAGATAGTATCTTCTACTTGTACGTGCCTTATCATTTAAGTATTTTCGTGATCAAGAATGTTTACATCACTTTACTTTTTTTAGAGTAAAACGACACTAGATAAGTCGAAATTGAGAGAAACGAAAACACTGCTAAAAATACTCTCAACGAGTACTTTAGATACTTTTCCCAGTATTTCTGAGTTCTGGCATCTATAATACGGAACACTTCAAGCGCTAATAATAACTGGACATCTTAGACAGCCTACGCAAAAATACAAAGCACTATTAGGCTAGGCGCAGACGAGACGTTGTGTCGGTTAGTTTAGTTGTTTTTTTAATTAACTTGCAAACCTTTTTGAAGGACACACTACAGAGAAAAGGTATCGATTAATTAAAAAGTTGTAAGGGCTTCACAATTGCCTTTCAACTACACTGTCAACCGCAGTCTAGCGAACGAAAACAACCAGCTGACTGTTAAACGTCTGGTTTGTGCACTAAGAGCCAGTTTCACTACTTAACGCCTCGCAACATAGGTACAACACTATATAGTCTGATAAGGAGCCTTATAAGTAGGAATCGGCATAATCTTTACTGCTATATTAATAGTAGTTATCCTTTATATAACCGCTTGGCTATTTCGAGAGGTGAACACCAGAACTAAATAAGCGTTTTATGGACTATCTTCACGAGATTATCTAATAGGGACTTTTCACATAATTTGTAGTATACAATTTAACGGAACATGGAAATGGAAGGTTTTGGCGTGGGTATGTTTATAGCGTTTGACATTGTTAGGGCTGTTAGGTAACTAACAAGTGTGTGTAATATTTGCATAGGTTTCGTAAGAGACGACGAGTGTTTTTAAAATTAGCATGCCCGATTGCAATATTTCAAGAATATTCATTATCTATACTAATATTATAAAGTTGAATAGTTTGTTTGTTTGTCTGAAAGTGCTATTTTTGGGAAATAGTGTTATAGTAAAAGAAGCGTTTGTCAGGTCTTTAGTTGTACGTTTAAAAGATTTCTACATCCGTTACGTAACGAGTAACCTACATTACTCTCATTGCAATTTTTATATAGTATATATAGAATTATCTTTGAAACATCAATGCCGTATATATATGGTTAATGACATTTTCACAATACAAGCCTTAAAAATATGAGCATCCTTATATCATCTTTATGTCCTTGTTAATTTGATATCTAAACTGTCCTGTGCTCCAAATTGCTGCCCACGCGCAGTTTGTCCCTCCTGCGTTCCTTTTATGAAACAATTCAAAAGTACATTAGTTTTCATTACTCTTTCCTTTTATATTCATAATCATCTCATTTTATATTCGTTAACAATGTAACTGGAAAGGACTAACTAAATACTGTCTACATATTACGCAAGTAGTACACATTTGAAATAAAAACTTAAACGGTTTGAAACGCGAAAATATTAGAAAAAATGTTTATCAATTATTATCATTGTATCCCCGTGACCACGGCTGCTGCAAGCATCCTAAAAATAAGGTAGTTGTTAAAAATATTTTAAAATCAAGTGTAACTAGTATATTTCGCGTTTTATTTACAAGTCTAATGTGCATTTTTTTTAATCAAGCACTATATTGTTTTGAGGACAATGTGGATGTTTTTTTAAAAAAAAATATATATAAAACCATGTTCTTTCCTACGAGTAATAATTAGAAATTTCCGGAGTCATTATTGGATCGATCAAATATAAATTTGTGAGTTGAATATATAAATTAAATACTGTCTATAGCTTACTGTCTTAGCGAGTAGTACACATTTAAATAAAACACTTTAACGGTTTATATATCGCGAATATAATATATCACGTTTTAAACCGTTAAAGTGTTTTATTTAAATATATAAATTGCCAAAATCATGACTTCTATTTAGCTTCGCCGTCCGCTGGTAAAAAGATAGAACACACAGAATCTGTCAAAATAAATTTAGAAGTTGCATGTATATCTATAGCATCGTTTAATATGTTGACGGAAATAGGATGTTACTAAATGGTGCAGAACATCAACGAGGATCGTCAATGGAGCGCGTGGGAAACTCTCTATTTTTATAAAAACTCTGTGGTAGGGCATTTGCATTCAGTATCAAGCTATGTTCCGCAAGCGAGTCCACAATCATTTATACTAGTCAACAATATTTTCTTAAATGTTAATACTTTATTGTATTTTACAAGATGGCATTATAAAATTTAAATATCTATTAGCTTTAAAAAATTAAGGACACTGGAAGACTTGAATCGGTATCCACAGCTACTAAGCCAGATATTGTTAAAATGACACGGTGCGATTAATTTTTTTAAGTAATTGATTTTTGATTTAAGCGCCTTATGCCATTCAAACATCCCAATGCCTTAAAATTTCTGCAATGTGCCCGTTGCCCGTGAAAGCCCTATATAACTTAAAAATATTTTGAATTGAAAAATTGATACACGTCGAATTGTACAAACGGCAAACTAAGTTGAAAGCAACACTAGCTAAAAAATTTACAGCACATAACAAACAATTCACAGCTAGTCTATATACTGTTTCATTTCGTACGTAGTAATTAATACTAAAAAATATATCTCCAGACACGTTGCACAACCTGCCAGACTGGTAGAAATATTCATCAATATTTATAACTGTTTGATAGTAGGAAATAAAGCGTGTAGTTAATAACGAAAGCGGTAGGCATGTGGCATCAACACTAGTGTATTTATGGACAAAACGGACGTTACAGTTAAGGTACAAGTCCCTATAACAAGCCCATTGAAAGTTTAGTTGACTATTATTTTCGTGAATGTTTGATTCGATTTCACTGTGGTTACGTGTGTGTTAGGCTGTGGTCTCATAGAAACGCCGACGTCACGCGTTACGCTCTGTCAAGAGGCATAAGATTTTTAATAAGCACGATAAGCGTTCACTTGATGGTAACTCGTTCGAACCCACAACCCGTATATTATAAGCCATGCATTGCTATCATTAGACCAACGTGCCCGTTAAAATCTAGTCAGTACGTACATTGGATTCGCGTAAGTAATTTTGGTCTCAACAACTGTAGTTGACAACAATACCTTTTATATCGTAGAGGAGAACAGAAAATCTTTGTTTACTTGCTAACATGCCTGCATGTAATAGTGGGATTTTGGACCCAATTTTGAGCTTAAAGCATTCAGTCAACTTGTTCAAATTTGACGTTTACGATTACAATAACCGTAAGTAGCAAGAGAAGAGCGCCAACAGTTTACGGGGTCGCCAATATAAGAGTTTGTTTCATAGGGTCCTCTTACTCCTATTAGATATGACTAAGACCGACGTGTATTCAGTTTTTAGGGACCAAGACCCCCCCCGGGGGGGGGGGGGGGGGGGGGGGGGGGGGGGGGGGGGGGGGGGGGGCCCCCCCCGGGGGGGGGGGGGGGGGGGGGGGGGGGGGGGGGGGGGGGGGGGGGGGGGGGGGGGGGGGGGGGGGGCGCGGCGGGGGGGGGGGGGGGGGGGGGGGGGGGGGGGGGGGGGGGGGGGGGGGGGGGGGGGGAAAAAAAGGGGGTTTTTTGGGGGGGGGGGAAAAAATTTGGGTGTAAAAAAAGGGGGGGGGGGGGGGGGGGGGAAAGGGGGTTTTTTTTTTTCCCCTTGGGGGGGTTTTGGGCCCCCCCCCCCCTTTTTTTTCCCCCCCCCCCTCCTCAAAAAAGGGGGGGGGGGGGGTCCCCCCCCCCGCGGGGCCCCCGGGGGCGGCCCTAATTTTTTATAAAAGTAAACGGCGTAACATTTAACGCTAAGAGCACGCCATAACTTTTATAGGAGACCAAAGCCTAAGGTCTACAGGATACATCGTGAATGTTTTGCGCGATATCTGTGTTACTTTAAAAATTCTTATTCAGGCGACAGTACGTTTAACCCGGTTGTCTTTCCGCTCAAAATACAATTTGTTAATACGTTTTAACATTACCACGATAAGGCAAATTGCTGGTCTTCTTGATAAGAACTTACTTTAGTTTGGAACGATTATAATGTGAAAAAAGTGATTAGTTTATTTCCCTTTTTTTGTCATTTTTACATTGCGTATAATTTGTAATGTGTAAATACTGTCTATAGTTTACGCGAGTAGTACACATTTAAATAAAACACTTTAACGGTTTAAAACGCAATATATATTAGTTAAACAGCCGCGGTCACGGGGAAACTGTCTCCCCTGCTGCTGAAAAGCACCGAAACGTCGGGCCATAGTTAATAATAATTATAATAATAATTTTTAAACAAGTTTAACTAAAATATATCAAAATATTTAAACAGTTAAAGTGTTTTATTTAAAAATTGTAATGTGTAAGTTTTTTAAGAGAGAGAGACCGACGAAGTCAGGAGAGTAAATTGTTATAATTCAAATTTATTTCCGTTGCATATTGTAAACAATATTTTACTCTAAAGAATGTTAGTGGTGTTAGCTGTTGTAAATATGTTCACAAAAACGAAAATGTGTTAAGGTACTAAAGAGAAAATGTACTTGTTATCAAAACACCGTATCTTTTCGTTTTATTGCCTTCCCAGCATTTAGCGTGAAGATCATTCGCTCGATAAGGGTCATTTGTATGAAGATTCACAACAGTCCTATTTCTGACGTCATGATAGCATCAACAATGAGAAACGTATTTCTGTTTGCTGTATTGTTTTCTATTGTATTCGCCGTGAGAAATAAGTTTCGTAATTAAAAACAAACGGCGGAAAATTTACAAGTTAACATTCGAGAATATTTGATACTAATAATAACAAACGAAGTATAACATAATACCAAATTATAAATTTTATTTTTATATGTAGCAAAAATGTATGTTTGTCCTTTTTAACGTCTTAACTGATCAACTGGAAATATTCCTACTATTAAAAAAAATCGCCCCTATACCTCTTGATGTTTTTTCTTAAAATACATAGTGCCATATATTTATGAAACCTTATTTTTTCTTTATAGAAACACCACGAGTAGCAACAGCTGTCGGGCCACGAAGCAAGCGAGCGCAAACCCCGCAGCAGCCGCAGCCAGCTGCCCGTACGCCGACCGCTCCGCTAACCGCGCCGCTCTCCGCTCCGCTTATTCCTCCTTTGCCTGTGCCCTCGAGAAAACACGCTGATGCTCTCGCGCACGCCGCCAAAGGTGTGGAAGCACTTGGTGTTTTAGTGCAATATTTGGTGTTCCGAGTGAGTAAATTTTTTCTCTTTTCTTTGTTTCTCCCTTCCTATTAGTCACATCTCTATAACATAGCCCAACGCCTTCATCGTAAATGCTGAAAAAATATTTTTTTTCAATTTGAACAAACATTTCCTGAGACGCTAATCTGTTCAAACTCGTCAGCTTTATTTATTAATATTGATTAACGAAATTATTATTTTTCAGTTGGACGCACTAAACGGCAGTTCCTGGCGATCGGAAGCGGAGAGATGGCGAGGTGTGGCTGCGGCTGAACGTAGCAGTGCTGCACGGGCTGACAGAGATAGACAGCAACGGGCGCAGAAAGATCTCGATACTAGTAAGTATTTTTATACGCCCATTACTTAAAACTTACTACATATCTGTTGTCTGTCTCGTGTTGGCAAATTATTGTTAGTGCACGAGTATAAATTAAACCCCCGACCACCATGAATAACTCTTTTAATCATTTCATTAGTCGCTGAATGCCTGAGCAAGATCTCAGAGCTCGAGATGGAAGTATCTTCGAAAGAAGAGGCGAACGCTCGCTTACAAGCCACACACGTAGAAGAGGTTTCCGCTTTAAAGAACGATGTTAAAGAATTAAAGGTAAAAATCTATATTTTTTTAATTAAATTTAAGCAAAGTAATAAATGATGTCTTGTGATATTTATATTAAAGTCATACACATCATAAAAAAGAAGAAAAAAAAAATTGATTGGTAATTTTTATGTTTTTTTTTTCTAATTATTCCAAATTCAAATTAACTAAATCAAATCGAACTAAAATTATTCCAATATGTAATCAAAAACCTAACCTTCAGTTTAAAAAGTATTCTCGTTCATTCTACGAAAAAAAAAACTAATTAAAAACACATTTAGTATTTTTTATGAAACTGTAAGTACATTATTTCAGGATACTATCGAATCCTTAAAACATGAAGTAGCTGAGAGTCGCGCAAGATTGCACGCTCACAGTGAAATAGAGAGGACACTGCGCGCGCAACTCGAAGCAGCACGGACGGAGATGGAGAATTTGGATAACTCAAATGAGTCGTCCAAAATAAACATCTCCTGTGATGCTGCTTGCGATCCTGTCTACTGGGAGGTGGAGGAATGTGAACTGAGGGTAAATTCTGAAGAGGAATTGAGCAAAGACGTCACAGAACTAGCTGCTGAGGTAAATTGCAGTATTATATAGTTCTGTCGCATGTAAAGTTTTGATAGAGACAATTTTAAACGTGTTGGGTTTTACTTCTTCTTTGCACTGTGCATTCTATACATTTATCTTATCAAATTTGAATAAATAACTTTTATGTGCTTCTTTATATATGTATATATATTATCCTGGTAAATAAATCCTAGTACAGAAAAAATGCATTAAGTTTTAGCTTTTTTAATACAGTACAATTTTGACCTCTTGATGAACCTACCTGAAGTGTTTAGACATTTGAGGCTTCTTACTTTTTTTTGTTCATTTCGAAGGTATTGTAATGTATAGTTATAGCTATGTATGTAAAAATAATACGTATTAAAATAATTTATATGTTATTTTTATAGGTGAGATCGCTAAGAGCCGTCGTTGAGCTTAAGCAAGCAGAGATAGTGTCACTAAGAGACGCGAGGAGTGAATTGGCTGCTGAAAGGGAAAGGAGAATCGCCGCTGAACGCGATGCTGGCAATGCGCGTCATGCTTCTGAAGAGCTGCGCGAGAGAGCAGCAGCTAGGCAGCGCGAGGCGGACAGACTAAGGGATGACAATAGAAGACTGAAAGAAACAGCTGCGAGGGACAGGGACCACGCTACTAGGCTTTTAGCACATAATGAAGAATTAAGATACAAACTCAGACAGAAATCTCAAGTAGGTCCAACTTAAGAAATGTATGTAGTTAACGCGAGTAGAATACATTTAAATAAAACACTTTTAACTGTTCGGAAAGGCGGAAGAATTAGAATTCATATTTGTTTTAACTACAGCCCGACGTTTGACATTAAGGACACCCTCCATCTTCAGTCCCTCCGTGATCACGACTGCTGCAAAGCAACCGAAAGGTCGTTAAAATAAATTGTAAATGGATTAAGTAATATATTTCTCGTTCTAGACCGTTAAAAGTGGTTTATTTAAATGAGTCCAACTTCTTTCGTCTACAAAGCTCTTTAAAAAATAATACAATATTGAAAAGGTTCATTTCTTTAAAAGTATACACAGAAGGTGATTTTTTTTACATCTTTTTTTCTAGGTGGTATCCCTGCTAGCGGGTGGGGGTTATATTGAGCGAACTACGATGCGCACACGCACCTCGTCCGGTGATTCGGTGCGCTCTAATTCGTCGCTCCCATCATCGCCTTCACCCGCGGTATCACCAGACCCTGATTCGCCACCACTACCCGCTGTCAAAGGAGTCGTAGAGAAACACGATTCTGTCAGCTGGGTTCTACAGATAGAAGAAACCCCTGAAGAAATGGCTTCGAGGTATTAGATTTTTTTTTTAATTTTACAGTACCATCACCTAGTACGTGATGTAATAGATATCCAAGCACTTTATTACCAAGGCATTATAGTTTACTGTTTATAGTCCTATAACATTTATTGTCGGACACCTCCAGAGACCATAGATTAGATATTCAGAAAATAAAAATAAATTAAACGATATTAGAATAAGAGTCTTAACTGATGGTATTCATGTTTTCTTCATAGGCTTGCACGAAAATCATCTTTCCGGGCATCGGCATCTCCAAGTGGCGTGAAAAGACGCGGCGGGGGTTCCCCCGGTAGTGGATCCCCTGCCCCTGCGTCCCCCGCCCCCAATGCCTCCAAATTGTTCCGGCCTGGTGAACTCGACTTCCCACCGCCGCCGCCACCTCTCAAAGAATCAGCTGGTGAGGCGATTTACATATACGATGAAAGTCAGTATTGAAATATATATAAGAGAACATGGCTTAGGTCATGTAAGGATATAAATCTGGATGAGACTGTTACGCTTTATAAGTTTGGACTTCTGGAGACACATGATTTGAGGGAAAAGGAAGAAAATCACTATACACTTATTTATAAATATTTAGCAACGTCGTGAGAAAACGGTGTCTAAATTGCATCTTTGATTCCAAGACTTGAATATTTTGTGATCGCAAGATAGGCCTACCGTTCTATACGAAATATGTTCTTGCCCGAAACTGGACACTTTCAAATGGACTAATTTTTTTACGGATGGAACGAATTGAAGTGAATCCTGTATGTTGATTTACATTGAAATGTAAATGTTACTTATGAGCTAACAATTCACGTGTTTGCCCATACTCAAAATGATGATAGATTTTGTTCTATATTATTGGACAATGTAGCGTGTTGGATTTGTCGCGTTCCATTCAAGCTGAAATAGAGAGAGGAATGGAGAACTATGTAACCAGTTAGTGTGATTGCTTTTCTCAAAGTATAGCCTTAAATTATATATATCGGCTGCGTTTTGTTCGAAAATGTTGTACCTGTACATTGCACCAATAGAGTCTCTTTGTTGTTTCGTACATTTGTTAAGGTGTATTTTGCGCAGTTACACTGACAAGCATTTAGCACATACTCCGTGGTGTGTTTTCGGTGTGATGGATGTCAATTATTTATATATACTTTTACTTAAAACTTGCTCACCCATTACACTTGAACAGTCTTTTGTTTTGCGACATAGCTTACATCAGGTATCTGCGCAAAATTCGTTTAATACTTACAAATCATTACATTCTTCTTCTTTCTACGCATCCTATATCTCTACAGCAGAATCTAGTCTCGTTTCAATACTTCTAGTTACTTTATTTATTGGTGCAATACTGTTTGGAGTAATCATTGTTAATAATGTTGTGTTGTTAAGGTAAATAATAATGGATTTCGCAATACTTAGGGCCGTGCTCGTAATAATAATCAGTGGCAGGTCGTCTGTTAACGTAATTTTTAAGTATGTATTGTTTTGTGTCCATTATTGTACTTTTATTATTACGATAGTTTATCTTGGTTGTTGGCATCGTTTTTATTTTCATGTACAAAGTAACGATTGAAAATTTCTAGATGTAAGTAGTACACGCGTGTAAGCGTGGTTTTAGCTATACAATTGGTTTTTCACATAAGGGATAAAGTACTCGAATATTTGTGTTTTAAGGTAACTTAATTTGTATAGATTTTGATATAACTCGTAACACAAAGAAACCAAAGAGTCTCACGCAGCCTGCTCTTTGTCGCGTTCCTTTTACCTTTTGCATGTCTTGATAAGGCTTATCAATTATTTATTTTAAGCTACGTATAAAATAACGTCATTCCAAATACAAAAATGTAAGCGTAAATGATTATTACATGATTAGAAGATTATCTATCTATTATTGTGAAAATAAATCATAATAAATATTATGTGGCGATTCGTTTTATTTATCCCCAACACATTTTAAAGGTACCGAGAACCGCTATAATAAAATAAAACATTGCCTTCTATTCAAATTTGTATTTTTTTATTTAGTCCTAAATAAGCTTATTATCGATTGAAAACAAAAAGATACGAGTGGGACTTGAATCAGTATCCACTCAGTTTCGTGCTGTCGCTCTATCAAATCGAGGTATTTTTTATTTATATAGAACCATCATAGATTGTCCATAAATATTAAAGTTTTGAAAGGTAATACTTTTTGTTAATATTAATACTAGATTCACGTAATAGCAGATAGTAGAATCATTATAATATGTAAAATATTAGGTACTTAGGTATAAGTACCTCTAAAGGATGGCAGTTCATTGAGTTAATTCGTACAACTAGACTTAATTATCGTAATTACGTGCGTCCGCGCACTGATGTCCTGTGTGGTCCAGTTTAGACAATCATTCCGGAAAGTTACTAACACTAAAGGGAGATTGAGGAGAACGGAGAAGTACCCGTGTAATGTTGAGTATATTTTTATATACAACCGCTGACTGGCTTAGTGGTCCAATGGTAGCAATTGAATAATGGACTGTCTAGAAATCTGGTTTAATTAAATAGGTGTCCGGATTGACAAATCTCCGTCTATATATAAAAAAACCGTGAAGATTAATTGTGTGTATGATTTTCCGACTATCCAAAGACAAAATATGTCATCGGCGCATTTTGTTTATATGTTTTATGGGGTATTTACGTACCATTTAATGATCTCCATGGTTTTCCGTCTTCCTTTATTATAAAAAAAAAACAATACCACCAAATTTAATTAGTATTTACTAAAAACATTACTCTTTAATAATATTTTTCCTTTTTTATTTCTTACATTTAGAAATGCTGCGTCTCAACGACTTATAAATAGTGAGGTAGTTTGTTCTTACATTTATAATAAATAAGGTTTTATTAAATAATAGAAAACTTAAAAAAAACTTACTTGCGGACAAATATTTTCTGTGTTTTAGTCTCGTTGATACTTTTTCAGTTTTCAGGCAGAATTAGTTATTATATTCTCTGTACTATACATCAGTCCGCTTTAAACTACATCTTCAATATTACCTTTAATTAATTTCAACTTTAACGTGGTTAAGAAAGGACTCACTCATAAACTACAGAAATTACGTAATTGTAAATAAAATCGCTAATTTAGTCAATACACACAAACATAGCCGAAATTCGGCCACGCCCCTATTATATGAAGCGAATATTCGGCTTAAACTCGGTAGCAGTTCAAAATGACCCTACTTTTTAGGTAAAACCCAATGTTTATATCCTGTTTAGAACGTCCAGACGTTTCAAACAACAGCTTCAAATGTTTTAACCACAACCTAAATAATAAAAGACCTAGTAAAACTTAGATTAAGTAGGCCTAGATTGAATAGTGGTTAATCCTAAGCAAATAGAGATAAATTCGGCTTCGTGTCAAGGAGACCCATAAGGACACTGATATCAGCCCCTATATAAACATGAAGACAACCGAATTAACAAAACTGCAAAATGGACAGCGGCGTGGTCGGGTTCACTCTTTATTTATTTATCGGTGAGTTTATTAATATATTTAAATATAGGGAGAAAGCTAGCATTATAGAAGTTTTACGACGCTATCTTGTGGACGCTAATGCGAAATTCTATTAACAGCTTCGGAAATATGAAAACTACAGATAATAATAATGAGATTCCCAACTTTTACATTTATTACCTGTTTTGTAACTTTCTCAAATGACGTAGCAACTGCGTAAGCAAACCCTTTTTAAATGAGATATTGTTGTTACGTAAAAATACTTCTCCTGGTTCAAAACGCGTAATAAATTTGTCACGGTGTAAATCGTTTGAACCGTCGGGTCAAACGTCGGGTCGAGAAAAAATTTAGCATATTTGCGGTTTCAACCGTCACAAGTGTTTTATTTAATGTGAACTACTGAGCAGACAGTCAATATAAAAAAAAATTACATATTAAAATTGTATAGATATAATTAATTGTATTTAATACCATTCTCCCAATTACTATGTGGTAAAATTAACACCTATACACGTGTTATTTATTTATTAGATATATATAAATATGTAGATATACTTTAGAGTGGCACAAATAATTCATCTATAACTTATTCTTCGCTTCAAAGAAATAGTTCGTTGATGGCTTTGCTATTTTTCGATAAGGAAAGAGCGAAAAGAAAAGTGAAAAATAACATCTATTTCAATGAATGTAAAACGGGGTGTCTTTGGTATTCCAATGCATTATAAACTTGCTTTCATTACAGCTCTATGTTTCGCCCAAAGTGACGAAAAAGACGCTAAAATGAGGTTTTATTCCAGGTAAAATACACTTTTTTATTTCAGCAATTTCAATATTTAATTGAATTCTTAAATATATTTTAATTAAGATTTCTTCTAAGCTTTATTGTTAAACGTCTTGCCTCTCGTTAAACACAAGAAGGTACGAATCTCGGGCAATTAATTGTTTCGGTCGGGCAGGACAGAGAGGTCTGATTAACTATTTGCTTGTGAATTAAAAATCGATTATAATTTTTTTTTAAATTACCAATCGGGCAGGACTTGAAGCGGCATACCTACACAGCGTTCCGTGCTGTTGCTCTAACAAATTAGGCTACCGAGTTCTACACGTCATCTTCGTGTTTTTTCAATCTATCGATACATGCACCTCGCGCACATTTAATTTATATAGTGCTATCATGTGCAATAATAGTGATGATAGTGAAACATGAATCAATAAAAAAAGGAGAAAATTCATGATTCTTCGAGCAATCGAGGAGTTAACATCTCCTGATGATGCCGCCCGCTCGAGATGTCGAAACGTCGAGAACCTCTTCTCGCTCACGTCGGCCGCACAGCCCGAAAGACAATGATATGCTGAACAATGGCCGTGAAAGCCTTACACAATTTACTAAAGTTTACTTTTTCAGTTCCTTCGAAGATTATGAAGAATTACCATTAAGCTCATCCCATGAAATAATAAACAGTTCCTGGTACAATGCTACACGCAACACGGTTGTCTTTTGTCATGGGTTTTCGGGTGAGTACCCATAAATTTTGTCGTGACATGACGTCGCATGACGTAAACGTTTAGCTTAGGTTTAAACGCTGCAAAAATGGTTCAAGATACCCGAAAAATATGTATAAAAAATCTTTCAATTATTTCCGCGTCACTTCATTTTTGAAGTTTAGCTCATAAGAACCGTTTTTATGGTTATCACATTGTGGTTGAAATACTTTATTTGACTTTTACGCGAGTAGTATATATTTAAATAAATATATTTAACGGTTTAAAACGCGCTGTATACTAATTAAACTTATTTGAAAAATTATGCCGTGAGACTTCCCGTATATATCGCGTTTTAAACCGTTAAAGTGTTTTATTTGAATTCTTCAAATGACAAAGGAAAGTTTGCCAGGTTAGCTAGTTACTTACATTTTAATCCTTTTACATTATGTGTACCTTCCAATTGATTATACTGGTTATTACAGGTTTCCCCAATGGCCCCGCTGTGCAAGGCGTAATAAAGACGTATTTGGGACAAGGCGAAAGTAACGTAGCACTTCTCAATTGGGAGCATTTGGCAGCGAACTCACTGTCCAGTATTCCAAACTCTTATATCAACTGGGCCGCGCCTAATGCCAGAAAGGTAAATAATATAAATGGTATTCTGATAACCTCCAAAAATATAAGGTTATCAGAATACCCATAGGTTCTATTATAAGTAGACTTACATACCACAAAAGGAAAACAGTCCTAACACAACTACACAACAACACACTCCATTAAAAAGTTGAAAGAAACACTGAAATCACTCTTCAATCTATACGACAACAGACAGACACTGTCTTTTAAACGCTACGACGAAGATGACGTTAAGTCGGTGTTTTTTTCAACTATGCTTATTGCGAAGTTTCAACCCATAAGTGTGTTTTATGAAATCTGTACATTAGTCTAAACTAATTACTATGTATCTATTTATGTCTATAAATAACTCCCTTATGAGAGGACAACAGATAAGCATGGGGTTCCCTTGAAGTAAGGTGCCTCAGCCATTTAATGAAACAAAATGTGCTGTCGGCCTATTTTGGCTTAAAATATTCCACGAAAAAAACCTCCACGGCTTTTTCATGTTGCGGTCTTTGTCAAGACGGTGGTTCGTCATCCGGACACAATTTCAATATTCCTACCCCCCATTCAATATCCAGATTCCCAGGTGAAGTCCAAAATGGTTTTGGAAATGTTATAAGTTAATTAGAAATATGTTAGACCCATTTGGGTTCGAACCCACGACCCGTTAATTATTAGTCGGACCAACGAGTCCGGCTACGAATATTACGATTATTGTCTGTCTGTATAAACAGTATTGTTTGCACAGACTATAAATTAAGCGAGAAAATTGAATATACAAACAAACACTGTTATAGCGTTAATTTAATTGATAATTTATCAAAAAATCGACTCTGCAAGCCAGCAGTGATTGAACAATCAATAGTTAGCAGACAAACGCAGGTAATTGGGCAAAACTCAAATTGAGGATAGGACCAATCAATATTGAATAAGTTATTAGTATTCAGTTTATAACTACTAGAGATTTATTTAATACTTAAATAATATATAAATATATATTAAAATGTGTGGAATGAACTTTAAGATATGTAGGAATGAGCGAAAGGATAGGTGTGAAAGGGACGGGGAGAGTAAGAAAAAAGATGGCGAATTAAGACGTTTGACGTAAAGAGCTAAGACGTAATGTAAAAAGATCAAGGCGAAATTAAAAGATTTATCTATATTTTACTATTGTTTTTGGTGCTCGCCAGATTCCCTACAAGTTTGGGGGCTCGTCCGAATTGCATTTATATTTGTATATACATATAGTCATAGATCAAAAACGGTTTTTTGACGTTGTTCTAATGGTAACAATGCAGGTTAACTACAGGTTGTGGGTCCGATCCCCACCGGATCCAACATTTTTTGTAATTTTTCAATTTATAATTTTTCTGAACCATGTTGGTCTTAATCTGGAAATCTGGATATTAATGTGTTGTAGGAATCCCGAACTTCCGCCCGGGTCACGTATCACCGTCCTCAGATGAAAAGCCGTGACGTTTAAACATCCCGTTTCGGGTTTAGTCTGTAGATTTCTATTGATTCTACTCGTGCAATAATTTCCGAATATCCAAAGCCAAAATAGGTCGACAGCATATCTTGCGAAGATATATGTTATAAGATATATGGCTGGTGTATTTCATCTCCTTCTTTTATATCATATAAAAAAACAGTTTTTAAATTGAACGAACACGCAAGTGTCAAGGTTGAAATTACACAGCGCAAGAGGTGCATGTATCAATAAGTTGAAAAAATTCGACGATGAGGTGTACTCGGTAGCTCAATTGGTAGAGCAACAGCACGGAACGCTGACGATGCCGGTTCAAGTCCTGTTCGAGTCGAAAATATTTTCAATTTATTTTCGATTTTTAAATTATAGGCTTGGTTGCTAAGACTGACACACTTTTCTATTTCGAGTTGGTGGTCTCTAACTATCGGCGTTTAATTGGTGATGATAACCAGGAACTACGCCCTCAGGAGAACAAAGATAAATAACTTTTCAAGCGATTTATTTGTATTGGTTTCACTAAGAACCACTCCGCCACTCACCACCACCTACAAATAATATAAACAGAGAGCTTACTTAGTTACACAAACATTGGCACACTAACCCGATCTCAAGAAGTCGTGACGTTCTTAGGTTACGGTACTACGACATTTTCGAGCGTATAAAGTCATAACTTTAGGGCTTTTTAAATTAAAACACTTTCTCAAAAAATATAGCCTACTTGTCTGACCGTACTATTATTTTCATTTGAGTTTTCTAACAACCAGTCAACAATGCAGTCATGCTTCATTACTAAATCCCTAAAGATTAAATTGAAGCCAAGAATATAGTTGCTGAATAAATAATTATATATTTAGCTCGGTGTCCGCTTCGCTGAAACGGTCGGAAACCTTTCGGCTGTCGGCGTGGACTTAACCAAGCTGTATTTAATTGGACATTCTCTCGGAGCACACGTCTTTGGAATTGCGGGAAACAATTTAAGACTTAATGGAATTCTTTTGCCCTGGTAAGTAAGCAAGTAAGTTTATACTCGTCGCGACCTTACGACGGTAACTAGTTGGGAAATATTTCTATAGCCGTTCTAAATTGAACGTATGCTTTCAATTTGTCGCAGAAGCGAAATTAATTGCCCATTTACAGTACGGCTGATTTTGTGCGATATAAAGAAAAATATACTTCGAAATACTATTAGTCTACCTCTTTAGCTAAGGAAATGTTCGGTTGAAAGTACTTTAAAAATTGGTACTGCGATATTTTAATGAGATTCCATAAATATCTTACCTAAGTATTTATGATCTTTACAACATACCTATGAACATTTTATTGATATTTTTTACTATCTTTTCTTTTACTTATCCTTTATAAAATATATAACATAATTACAATCATTAAAGTTTCGTTCCCCAATCTTTTCACAGTGTTTCAATTTCGCTACTACTCGTTATCTGATAAGAGACAGACTGAAAATCAGCGCTTGGCAAGCTTTGCACAGCACAAGCTGAGTCTGAGGCCTTTTAGCACGAAGTCTAAATGATATTTTTTTTTCATTCTTCTCATAGTAAGTTCTTTATTATTCATTCGGCTTTTCGTTTTATGGTCTTTGTGTTGATAACGGATTATTTATTTATATACATACATTTGTTTGTACGTAATTGTATGTTTGTGATCTTTTGTGCTGTGTGCCAATATCTTAATCAACCTGTGTACCATTTATCTCGATTATATTAAGATTCAACGTTAGTTTCCTAGAGTTGACACGACTTAAACGGCAATTTGATACATATTTTATTACACATTTTCGAAATAAATTAAACAGTTTCATTCAATACGTAAACGCTTTCATTACTAAAGACTCTCATTTGCTGATAATATGAACGCAGGCCATTCATATAAAGCGAATTAAGTTGTAGCTCATTTTGAACACATGTACTGCGAACAAAACATAAACTTAATTTGTTTTAATGAAACTGTAATTTCAAATGGAATTCAATCCATTTTATACGTAGGTAACCAGCGAAGCTATTTCTGCTTTAGTACAATCGTATTTAACAGGATTATAGGCCTGGATCCAGCCGCACTAGGATTCGAAAATAAAGCCCCGATTTTACGACTGAACCCCGGTTCTGCGAAGGTTGTTACTGTCGTCCACTCGGATCCGAGTAAATACGGTAGCAGAGTGCAGCTTGGCACTGTGGACTTCTGGCCTAACTTTAGGAGCCTGGGGCCAGTGAGACAGCCTGGTTGCCAGGGACGAACGGCGCCCGTGTTTTCTCCTGCAGGTAAATGGCGAATGCCTATATTTTGTTATTTTTAATTTAATTTAGTTGTCACTTCTAATAATACGCATGAATGCATACGGCCCTTGGTATTTTTTGTTTTTGCTTGTAGATAAGCTAACAAATCAATTCATACAATTTTAACTTAACTACTTAGTAATTTTAAAAATTGTTTGTAATTGTTCAATTTACTTATTATAAACAGTGACCATTAGAAAAATAACTGTTTTATAAATTTCAATTAAAATCACGCATTTGTTAATTTGTTAAAACCAGAACAATTTCTTCATAGATAAGTAGGACCATGCTATACTGAGTAGTTCTGTCCGTAGCTTATGGTGATGTTAAAGACTTAAACTACAAGAAGACAAAAGTCTTATGTACGACTTGCGTGTAAATAGTCTTTCTCATGCCCCAAATAGGGAAGATTTGATTCCACTATTATTACATAGAGATAAATTATTATAAATACTTTGTATTTAAGTGAGTACACCACGGCTGCTGCAAAGCATCCGAAACGTCGGGCCTAAGTTAAAAAGCATTTTCAAATAGTTTAACTATGTATGTGTTTTTAACCGTAGTATTTATATAAACATTTATTTTTCAAAAAGACTAGGACCTGTTGGAAAATTTGATGAATACTATTAGTATTGTCATATGCCAATCAACAATTAACGCAACGGGCATCGCTCGGGGATTACAATCGGCTCGTCTATGTCTGACTAATAAATACGACTCAGTCGTAAATTACTTCAAATTTACCACATTAGCTAACGTTTGAGCATTATAAACTGTAAATAAAATAAACTTATATCAAAAAAAGTTCCTCTTAAGTGATCTTAGAAGACTTTTTTTTGTACTCTATTCTACTAATTAAATAACTGATTTTATGTACAAGCAAGTGGCGAATCACTTCTGCTATGTTTGTTCGGAATTCGAATATTATAATCTTTCACATCGTCACTCGAACCAATGATCTACGAGACTCAATGTGGACTATAATGTGCAGTGCTCTCGGCTTTATACGTCGATTCAGCAGTTCGATTTTCGTCTTTTTTTTATTTGGAAGGTTATTCATTCATTTCCACGACATTTTTAGATAAATTTAATATGCTATTTTAATTTTTAATTAATTGCAATTCTTTTAACTTCTGAAAGTTTAAAAGTAATTAGTTATAAGCTTTAGAGACATGAAAACTCTATGTCTTTATGAATAGTTTTTTGGTATGCAAATACAGTGTGAACAACGCTTTTTTATTTAAGATTTATGCAATCATCACAGAAGCTGGGAGTTGTTTATTGATGCAATAAAACATCCAGAAACAATTGTCGGATCACACGCCAGAAACTTTAAAATTTGGAAACGTTATACGACTGAACAACGCGCTGAAACCAAGCTATCACTTGAAACGCTCAACAATAATATGTAAGTATGTTTTCTGTAATGGGGAGGATAGTGAAGCATGGGGCTCACCCTAGGTAGGTGAAATATCTAGCCATGTAACATTTCAATAAGATGCGCGGTCAGCCTATTTTGGCTGCGGATATTCGGGATTACTTAACTTATGATATGGATTTTTACACATTCATATATTTTAAACGAATTAAATTATCTGATATTGATATTAATGAGGCAGTGTCGGTGCCTACTTGTTAACTTGCGTCATTTTAGGCCGGCACTTCCCCCAAAAATTTTTATAAAAGACCTTCGTGTACATTTTTATAAAAGATCTTGTTGTACAAAAAAGTATAAAAATAAAGAACCGTAGAATACAGCATGTATCATACCATACCATACGCACAATTGGACAGTGTTCCTTTTTAGGGTCTCATAAACCCAGCTGTGAGAACAATCTCAGGGAAATGACAATATAACAAATAGTGGCTTTTCGAATCATGCTGCTTTTGAAAACCTGTTGTCATTTTTATCATTAATTTACAACTTATTTTATTAAGTTATAACGATGTATTATTTTTGCAGGAAACCAGGAAATTATTACCTAGTTACAAATGCTGAGCCTCCGTTTGGTTTAGGCGTAAATGGTTTATAATTTTGTATAATTGAGCTGTTGAATATTGTTGTACAATAAAAAAATTAAAAACAACTAAAGTTTATTGTTTTTGAATTGTCCTTTGTCTAATATCAAAAAAATATTAGTCAAGACACCGTCATTAAGAATATGTAGTGTACACAATCATTTTAAAATTGTAAATAAAAGCGGGTAGTTAAGAAAACTGACGTGTCTGTATTAAACATCGTGCTATGACTGAGTTGGCGCGAACGCTCTACTAAAGAATGCTATTAATTTTATTGTAATTAAAGTAAGTGTGTTAATTAATTATATAAATTGAAACATTTAAATTAAACACTTTCCTTGCATTCGAATCTGCTAATTCATTTAAGTAACATTGTAAATAATATAAGTCACTTTCAACAATAAGATGAATCGTAAAACTTGTTCGGATTAATGATTTCGATGTCCGGATGAAAATTTTCTCAAATCATTAAAGCACTTAGGGCACGAATGGCTTCGCCTCCGGTGCCAAATGGATTTCCAACGACTGCTCCGAAGTTAGGAACTACAAAAGAATTATCTCGTAACTTAAATAGCCGCGAACAAAAAGAAATATATTTCATTATCGTACGTTAATTTATTTATTTACATTCTATAACAATATACGAGGCTGCTAGAGACAGAGGGGCCTGAAAATCATGATTTAGGCGAAATTGATATTGTACTATTATTTGTGTAATAATTATGTTAAACATTTTAGGTCACTATGCTTTCTACAAAGGTAGATAAATTAATAATATTTATAAAATGGTTAAAGAATATAAATAACTCAAGTCATAAAATTGCAGTTAGGCTACTCTGCCTTAAGCGGCCTCATATTTAATGCACTAACAATATAACAAAGGTATAAAGGTAAATATAGAACTTAAACAGCCAGAAATTACTATATTCCTTATAAGAAAATTCATCAATCATTTAGACATTTATAAGTGTATAAATTAAGTACTTAGCCACGTCAAAAAATGTTGATGAAAAAAAAAACATTTACTTTTATTAAAAAATTGACGGGCTTTTATTATAATATCTATTTTTGTATATAGCTAACTAGAATTTAATCGGTATCTAACTACGATGGAACAGATGGCGCTAGCGTAGCAGTTTTATCTTTGCCATCAAAGGCACTCTCCATATTTAGTCTCCCCGTGACCACGGCTGCTGCAAATCATCTGAAACGTAAGGCCATAGTTAAAATCATTTCCAAATAAGTTGTGTGCGTTTTATTTAAATGACACTACAGTCAGTTTATAATAATTTTTCTATAATTTTGCCTTCCTATTTTCCATTTCAAAGTATAAAGTATGTATGCGCCTGGTCATCTCAGCTAGATTCCCCAAGGGCGGTGCTGTCCGTGCAAGCGAGATGTCTAGAAATAACATTGCGCTTAATGGAAGCTACTCAACAACCTGAATACTTAACTCGAGGATATTTATTTTATATAAAGTTCTAGAAAGAACACTGAGAGCTATATAAAAATATATAACGACTATAATACATCGATTATACCTATGTCAAAAAATATGTAATGAAAATGAATGGTAGCAATGTCTCAGAATCAACGGGTCGTGGGTTTTATTCCCACCAGGGCCATGTTTATAATCAATTTATAATTTTGTAAATGTTTGTCTGTTTGGCATATCGAAATTCCATCCAGGCAATGAATCACCATCCACATAAATAAGCTGTGAAGTTTAATTGCGGTTCGGTTTCTATCAATGGACTTAAAATATAAGCTCATCTTGTTGAGATGCTATATACTGGTGTATTCCAACTTCCATCAAATAACCCTTAGCTTGTCTGTCCACCTCTAATATAAAAATGACATACGGCAGACTGGTAGATAACACTGTATATTAATTAAATGTTAGTACATCTGTCTAATAATGTTTTTTGTAACCTTCCAATTGAATAACCGTTATAAAGGTTTTAGCTGGCTTCGAATCCGAAGCTTTTACATAAAATGTCACGAATGTCAGGGCGCGTAGACCATATTTTTCTTACTTTGGTGATGATAAAATTTCTCAAAGTCAGAATTATTATCATCAATAATTAAATCACTACATATTCAAGTGAACGCATAAATAAATTAATTATCAGTAAATGTGGATACAATTTTCATTGCATTTTAAAACATGCACGACACAACCGAAGTCGTTGGGTACATCTGTTTGACAATTTACGCTTTTAATAATGGCCGACACCGGCTTTGAATCGGTCGCGCGCGAATTAACAGCGGGCTAAATTAAAGCCTTCAAACTTTTTGCGCGGCGCACTGTCCTATATGACCGGGTGTTTCACTTTATTCGGGGACGTCGAATATTACAGATCTAACACCGTAACGTTAAATCTACTTTGAAGTTGATAAGAGATGTTTTAAAATATTTTTTACATGTTATTGCACATTATGCCACTATGTAATTAAAAATTAGAAGAGGCACAGCACGGAACGCTGACGATGCCGGTTCAAGTCCTGCCCTGTTTATTTATAAAATATGCCTGATTTATAAAATATGGTAACTACTTCATTGATACACGGTGAACAGTATGTCTCGGCGCAGATTGTTTTTATTCATATTGGTAAAATTTGACAGGCTCTTGGGTTCGATCCCCACCATATCCAACATTTTTCTAACATTTTTTTAATTGATTTTGTTGGACACAAACCGCCCACAGATGAAAAAGTTGTTTAATTCCGTTTTAATTTCAGAGTGTGGATTTACGATTACCGATTACGATAAAAAAAAATCCAATTAATTTCGACAGTTCAAACTAAACATTTAAATACTCTTTAACAACCACTACACTACATAATATAATCAGAGATTTAAAAAAGACATGAGACGAACAGGATTTGACGGTTTTAAAAGTGACCCGAACCGTCTTTCGCACCTCCGACTCGGACTTAGCCGGTTCTTCAAAAATTGGTATTTACTAGGTAGAAAAGTATCGATTTCTGCCTTAATGTAGGGAAACGTCTGCAAACTTACTGAGCATCGTTACTCATTCTAATGTGGACATAAATTGGAGAGCGTCCTTCCATTGAGGGTACTCTTCAAATGCATTTTATTATTAAGAGTAAACTTTGCGACGACTCAAGAGTCGAACCATATCTATTATTAGCTACTTATTAAAAGATCCTTTCTGTAACCACTCTTATACGGACGAGTATCTATAGTAATATTGAGAAGATGAAGAGTTCGTTTGAACGCGCTAATATCGGAAACTATTAGTTCGAATTGTAACATTTTTTGATGTTGTGTTGCTTAGAGCACTAATCGAGAAAGGTCAGTCTATCAAACTTCAGGTTGCTACAGATTAGAGCAAAAAAAAACCGGCGGGAATTGTGAAAAAACGAGAAAGTTGCTTGGACTGCGAAAACGTGCGAAGAACCAATTCGTTAATAAGTTTAGAGATTTTTTTTGTTTGTTAAAACAGACAAACACACAAACAAACTCTTCAATTTTATTATATTAATATAGAATAAAAGCAGTTTTACCCTCATATATTTTATCATTATTCTAACAGATCGTTAATTAATTAAATCGATTTGTAAAAAGACAAGTATTATACAACAGATCACATATACAGATACTAAGTACATATAATACTATGTTCTGTATGTTTTAATCAATGTTAATTCTAATTGAAATTCGGCGAATTACGGCTGAGCAGAAATTAATCAATAAGCTCCTGGTTGTAATAGTAATAATTAGTTTGCTATTCCTGTAATAAAAAGAAATGGGGAAACAGCTCACTCAGCAAATAGCCACAACGCTACCGAGCTGCAGAAATACCGTATTAGTTTCTTCCATTAGCATAATATGTGTATTAAAATACTACGCAAAATTACTTAATAATTTTCTGATAACTGGTTTTTTCTACAAAAGGCTGACTTATTTTTAGGTCTATTGTAGGACTTATGGGATAAACTGAATCTTTTAACAGGACCTCTTGCACTTAAATAGTAGTAGTAGTAGTTTACGTGAGTAGTGCACATTTGAGTAAAACACTTTAACGGTTTAAAACTCCGGGATGTCTCCGTGTTTAAACACGGAGACATCCCGCGATCACGGCTGCTGCAAAGCATCCGAAACGTCGGGCCGAAGTTAAAAATCATTTTCAAATAAGTTTAACTAATATATCGCTTTTAAACCGTTAAAGTGTTTTATTTAAATTAACAAATATTTATCGCGTTTTAAAACGTTAAAGTGTTTTATTTAAATTCTTGCGCTTAAATAGTTTCGTTAAAGGAATTAATAAGTGTAATCCCGTTTCCTACCATGAAGCATAGTTCGAACACTGCGTAAAATTCTGAAACTGTTTCACTGAACGGTTTTATTTACAGGCAATCTTCTGTGCCCTGCTCGACCGAAACAATATAATATTGTTTCCCCGGTATCCAAACCTAGGACATTTCGCGCTTAACGCAATGCTAGGCAACACGTTTTTACTATTTACTAAAAATGTTACGTATTTACTAAAAATGTTTAAGAATACTTAAAGATACGATGTCTTAAATGAGACTCAAACCAACGACTGCAAGCTGAGTTGATAGAGCAAGGCACAGTTCTTAATTATTAATTATTGTATTTAAATCTTTGGCAATCATAAGTTATTTATATACAACACAATAAAATTTTCTTTTTTTTTTTGGTCGCCTTCAACATTGAAATTGCAAAAGTCCCATTATACTTGATAAGGATTTAAGAAGATTTTCAAGAGCTTACGTTAATCCTATATCGCGTCTAGATTTCTCATCAAGAAGCTCCACGTTTATTCTGCTATTTGTTAGCATAAAAATCAATTTCCCTTCTCTGTATCTAAGTTTTGCATAATATAAAAAATAATCTGTTTGTAACTTATAAAAATTCTCAGAATCATTAGTACAATTTTTAAGTTTTGACTTTGATTAAAAATAGATTCTAGGTTGAAAAAAAAGTTGAATACCGCGACTTGAACCGGCATTCACAGAAATTCGTGCTATTGTTGTAACTAATTGCGCTACCGTGACACAGTTAGATTTTTAATTTATATAATGCCATCATGTGCAATAAATGTTTACAAATAAATAACTTGAATTAAAGGACACATAATAATAAAAATATAGTAAAATATAAACTTAAAACGTCTTTACTCATAGCCGTCAGTTGCGGATTCGAGCCCCGCCTGCTGTCTATGTTTGAAATCATTTATGAAAAATAAAAAAATCCCTAATAATAAATCTTCCCCTTTTGGTGAAGAGCATCACGGCTTTTTCATCTAAGAACGGTGGCTCGTGACACGAGCGGTATTTCTATATTCCGCGCATTTGATATCCAGATTTAAAATTCGAAAATAAATGAAATGATTTTTGACTACTGAGTCGACTCGGTAGCTCAATTGGTAGAGCAACAGCACGGAACGCTAACGATGCCGGTTCAAGTCCTGTCCGAGTCGAAATTTTTTTTCCAATTTATTTTCAAATTTTAAATTATATGCTGCCTTCATATGCGATAACATGTAAACAATATTAATATATCCAGATTTGCCAGACTGAGTCCTGCTTTAGACCCGGTGGGATTCGAAGTCACGATGATTAGCCATTGCTACGAAAGAATGTGTAGTATAAAAAACTAGCTTACCCAAGTACGCATGCGCCACCTAGCTTACAGTTTGTGGCAGTAAAAAGTTTTCAGTGAGCGCGCTTTGCTGTTGTCGAAAAGTCGTTAGAAGTTCAAGCTATACGAATAAAACACGTCACTTAGCAAAACTAGTTATGGATTATTCAAGACAAATTTTCCTATTAATAATTTCATCAAGTTTGTATAACAATTTCTTTGTGAACGCGAATAATTTATCATGCTTCTGTTGCGTGTGCTTTCCGCGTGCACTTAATTTTCTCGTCAACTTGCAAGTTTGATTAAAGCTTTTTTGCTTTTGATAAAGTTAATAGGCGGCTTAAATATTCAAAAGCTTTTGTTGTGCCTTATACTAATAAATCATCTTTACACTGTAATCAAGTATTACATTACTCAATAATGTAATCAAACATTTAAAAAAAATCTTGGATTGTTGACTTTGATACACAGCGTACCTAATATCAGTGAAACTCTTTTTTTTCGTTTTTTTATAATTATACTCTTGTAAGCCCATTTTTAACGTTCACTTCGTACGTTACAATGTTTAAAATGTTATAAAATTGGCCTTAAATTTGTCACTCTAAGCTGTTTTAAGTCGTTCAAACATGCTTCAATTTTACTATAAATAATTAAATAATGTCTCTAGTTTACGCGAGGTCCCGCATTAAATTAAAAAAATAACGGTTTAAAACGCGAAATGTATTAGTTAAACTTATTTACAATATATTTTAACTAACAACGTTTCGGATGCTTTGTAGCATATTACATGAACTTATTAAATATTTAAATATAAATCACGTTCAAATTAAATGTATCCTGCCACAATAATACTTAACTTTTTACTAACGAAGGAAACTTGCAGAATGTTTGGCTGTAAGCATAGAGCGAATAGATGTCCCATCAGCAGTAGAACTTGGTACAGAATCTATAGTTCTCGACTGTCAGTACAAAACGAGTAGTCCCCGACCGGCCGGTTTGGTGATGAAGTGGTTCTTCAACGGGTCATCTGGTCTTATCTACCAATGGATTCCGCCACTTCGGCCACAAGTTATCGGTCTTTTGAAGGGCAAAGTCGATATGAACTTCAGAATTTCAGGTACGTAATTTGAGATTTAAGAGTATACCTTTTTAAAGTGTGTAACATATTTGATTTACCTTTTAAAGCTTAGGGTTTCGTATATAAAATCTTTCACTTTATTTGATAGTTAAAAAAACCTATACTGTTACATCAAATTGTTTCGTCATTTGCGTGACTAGTACACAATAAAAAAAAACCTAACTAATTTAATTTATAACTATGTCTCGACATTTGGGATCCTAGTAAGTCGCCATAGTCGTATTTAAACGGTTATAATTGAGTAATATAGATTGCGTTTTAAACCGTTGTTAGTGTTTTAATAATTATAAATAGCAGAGACGAAAAAATTTTTGGACTTAAGATTTTTTATTGTATTTTAATACTAAAATAAGTTAAGTAAATAAAAAAAAAAAAAAAAAAACCTTTCCCAGGTACACATTTTAATAGAACACTTTAACGGTTTAAAACGCGATATATTTTAGTTAAACTTGTTGAAAATTATTTTTTTTTAAGTTAAACTTGTTTGAAAATTATATTTAACTACGGCTCGACGTTTTGGATGCTTTGTGGTCACGGGGAGGCTCCCCTGGCTGCCGCAATAATACTTTGACTGACTGCTGATAACGTTTTGTATGTAAAAAACGATCAGTATAAATAAAAATAATATATCTAATCTAATCGAAATATATCTAAATATAAAATACCGTTTTAATAACAAAAGGTGGGGTTATATGTATAGGTATTCGTGGGATACGATCACTACTATTATTTTATAATATATAAGATATTTGAAAACACCAAAATAGTAAATTCAATACGATCGAGCAATATCGTTTCAGATGAGCCCCTACAAGCGTACCGAGCGATCAAAGTACTGAAGCCCTCCACGGACCTCAGCGGGAATTACACGTGCGTCGTCTCCACGTTTATTTACGAGGATCGACAGACACGCTCCATGGTCGTTTACAGTAAGAGTTTATACTTTAATATAACTTTCTAATTTTTCTGAAAATCTAGACTTCGTCTGGATATCTGGAATTTAATGGTGGTAGGGAATATAGAATATACCGTCGGACCACGAACCACCGCCCACAATGAAAGTCGTGGCTTAATTGCGTTTCTGTTTTAGTCTGTGCATTTCCGAATATCCAATGCCAAAATAGGTTGTTTAGATGCTAGAGGCTCAAGTATATCACCTACCATGAAGCTAACTCCATGCCATGTTTGTCCTACTTTGTCATTTAAAAAATCCATATTTTTATAAGTAAGGACTTGAAGCAAAAAAAAGTTTCAAATATCCATGCAAGTTTGTTTTTAAAAGTTTAATATTTTTCAAATGTTGCACATGATGGCACTATCAATCAAGATAAAATAAAAGAAATAAAAATCAAGAAATCGACATTCGTAACACTGTGGATGCCGGTTCAATTCCTGCCCGTGTCGTAAACTTTTAAATGTATAAACTTAAAAATCTAAATTTGTTTTTGTCAAAAGTCCGTTGTGCGTCCGTAGCACGTGTTAAATACAAATAAATCAATGATATAAATCTGTTCCAATTGTGGAGTCTTTAAATTATATAATACGTATTGTATACGTATATTCAAATTAGCCGCCTCTGTGTTTCTATTTCGATTCGATTTTTAATTTATATAAAGCCATCATTTGAAACATATTAGAGTTTTTAAGTCATTAATAGAGTTGTAATTGCTTACAAAATGTTAAAAGAATTTCCACACGAATACGTATAAAAAAGATTTTTAGAGCCACTGCTTTTCAAAACCGTAATAGTTTTTTCACTAAGCTCTTTTTCAATTTGAGCGCACCCTTTATGTGTATACAGGTCCGGCCAAAACGTTTCGTTTCATACAAGACAAGAAGTATGTGTTTCTCGTAACGCTCATCTGTTTTGCTCAAGACTTGTATCCTAAGCCAAATATATCAATACTGTCGCAGGGGTAAGTTTGGTATCATATATTTTCTTGTAAATTAGAAAATTTCGGTGGCTTCTTCCAAGTATACATCGCCCAGTCTTGGCAATTCATACGTAATATTTCAACTGAGTATTAATCTATGATTCATGATTGCATATTCATAAAAATACGTTTTTGACATTTATTTATATTTTTGGGACACATATCACAAAACTTGACATTAATTGTCAATGTCATTTTGATTTTTGAAAGTGGAATACCATGATTTATTTTGTTTGATTGTCGTTCTTTAGTAGCTTATTACTTATATGTTGTTTTTGGATAGTGGTTTTTATTAAATACAATTTTTGTCTGTGGGTAGTTCTAAAAAATCTATTTTAGCTATAACAACCTGGATGTGGAATAAGATAAGAGCTATGTACTAGAAGGTGCATTCGCGTCTTGCTGACAACACGTCTAAGCTATCCAATATTTTTGACAAAGTTTAGTTATGGCCAAAGAAAACTTATTTTTATAATCTTATATACAATTGTTGTGGAGTTGCATGATTTTCAATACGGTCAGTTACAAATCTCGAGAGTCGAAAATAGTTTATAGTACCTCCCGCGATCAAAACGTGTTGCTTAACATTTATTTTATCTCAAACTCACAGGAAATATTATACCCGTTTATCGATTTTATTATATTATTCAATTATAAACTTGCACATTAACTAGTATACGATTTGAGACCGCAAAGACATAATCATATTTTCTTAGAGACATATAAAATACGTATAATTTGCCTCTTGCATACAATTTCTTCTTAATTATGGCGTAGTATGACCATATTTAACATATGTACTTTCAGAGAGCCGCTACAACAAGCTGTTTTGGAAAGTAAAATGAATTCCTGGGGGCTGTACACAGTTGCTTTGACCGCTGTTGTGCACGATGACGATATCCTTACACCTTTTGAAGAATTTGTTTGTCTACTGTCTCTACCTCTTACGAATTATACCAAAAATCTTACAACTGTCTATTATCCTGGTAAGATAGGGCTGAGTCACTAGATAAAATATACAGATTTTCAAAACATTATTTATTATTATTACACAACACAAGACCTTTTTGTTGAAATAAAACACTTTGACGGTTTAAAATGCGATATATTTTACTTTAACTTTTTGAAAATTATTTTTAACTACTTTGCAGCAGCCGAAACATCCGGCCTTAGTTAAAATTATTTTCAAACAAGTTTAACTAAAATATATTGGGTTTTAAACCGTTAAAGTGTTTTATTTAAATGTGTACTACTCGCGTAAACTACAGACAGTATTTGACCTTATTGTTTACTTAACTTTTATACAATATTATACGATACAAATTATTTTAGAACATACGTACTTACTCTTATGACCGCTGTCAGATCCTTAGAGTCGTAGTTAAACGATCGTAATAAGCGTGAAAAGTCTTAGGTTCAGAACTCTCTTGAGCAAAGTAGTCTGATCAACCTATGAATTAATTTTATCAGTGATACAATACTACACACACTTCCATTAAAATTTGTTTTCGACTTCTAAAATCAAGATATGAAACTGAAAATTTCGCAATAACGGTAACGGTGACTGAAATAATTTTAAATATAGAACAAAAATAATTTCACGTTTCAGGATTAATGCCTACCGCATACATATCAGCGTATGAAGTACAAAGACCTCAACATCACCAAGCAAACGGTTTGTTTAAACATACAATATGCACACCGAGCTCTAGACAACTAGAAATAACTTAAGACCTGCTTGGATATGATATTTGATCTATATCTATACAATATTCTATTCTATTGTGGAAATTTAAATAATTTTGCTCCGTTGAACTCTCTGAACAACGTATTCTCCAAGAAACGCAGCTATGAAAAGATTTCATAGCAAACAAAATTCCTTATAGCGCTTGAACTTCTATTAAAATATTACAATATTTTTTACATGATGTTCTCTTTTTCAGGGAATCCCAGCAATGGTGAACTGTTCAAATCGTTAATTAAAATCGTCTTATTGCTTATTTGTACTTTTTATTAATTGTTTGTAACGCTATTTTGTATGGAAATAAAAATAATTAAATAATTGAGCCTTACTCATTTTCCTTTACACACATTTATATTAAACAACTATTTACTTAAATCATGGATAGTAATCTAATATTTTGTGGGTAGTTGCAACAAATTTTGAGCACGATTGTCGCAGGAATAAAAAAAATGAGACGGGAAAAGTGACAACCTCGGAGTATATGATAAATTCAAACGTGACATGTCTAAAGTGTAATGTTAATGAAATAAATTACAATACTTAGTAAAGCGAAGCGCCAACTTTGCTTTAAGAACTATTAACCAATAGAAACGTAGCAACATTTATTTATATTGTACTTGTACGTATAGACGTTATAAACGTTCTTTGTTTATTTATACATCAATTTCAACATCTATGAACATAATACGTTAATTATCTGACAAATTACAAAACGAACAGGATGTAGATATACAGAAAAGTTGAGGACGTAGGTCACCTAGGTACTTATTTAAAATTTAGTTAAATACTGTCTGTAGTTTACGCGAGTGGTATACATTTGAATAAAACACTTTAACAGTTTAAAACACGATATTCTCTATTTAATTCCTAAGTTTATTTTATTTTTACTATTTTAGCTACTTTTTTATTTTAGTGAAGTAGTGAAACTAATTGAATATCATTAGTTACATTAATTAATGATGATGTACGCTAGCAGTTTTGTTACATTCTATGCTTCACATTACATTACAATGTAGTTAAAACTACACTGTTGAAAATTCTGAAAGAATGTTGAAAGAAACTCGCCTTTAATATACGAGGAAATCGTTAGTTTTATTTGTATTGTATGTGATATCATATTCTAGATAACTTATTGAACATTCCAAGATACAGTATACGTAGATCGCTTTTCATGCCCTGAGTAGAATGAAGTTCTTCGATCGTAATAACACTACATTTGTTCCGACAAGCTCTCTTCAGACTATGTTATAATATAATCGCACTAGCTGTACCGGCGATTTCGTCCGCGTTCTTAATTTTGGCGCGTGTTTTGGAGGAATATTATTTATTGTTGACAACACAAAGTCGTTTGCCTTCCGTCCCGTCTTTCGACATTTCCCGGCGTTTCTTCGCTTCTATTGATCGCAGCCTGATGTTTCTTTTCAACCAACACAATAATAATTTTTCATTTCCAACAAGTAATTCCTGAGATTAGCGCGTTCAAACAAGCTCTTCAGTTTTATAATATCTGTATATATTAAGGGCTTAATAAAACTATTATGAATATTAGTTCTAAAATGTTATTAATGTTGGAGCTAGATCTTAACTAGCGTAGTAATTGGATTACATAAAGTACTACTATTAATGTACCTTAATAACTTCTCCCCCACAGCTATGTCAAAAGAAAGATGCTTTAAACGTCAGGTGCTAAGTATGTGTAACATAAAAACTTAAATTTGACCACAACATACGTCTTTTAAATAAAACATCTTCAACGGTTTAAAACGTGAAATACTTAAGGTATACTGTCTATAGTTTACGCGAATAGTACACATTTAAATAAAACACTTTAACGGTTTAAAACGCGATATATTAGTAAAACTTATTTGATTAAATTTCAATAGGGAGGACGGCCTCAAATTATCAAACACCTGGGACCCCATATTAAAAACTCTGGATCCCAATAAACAGCATACCGGCAAACGCGAAGACACCGTTAGTAAATTCTGCAAGGATCCGGCCAGTTTCGCCAAAGCCAACTTCGACGGAACAGATGGCTAGGTAGCAATTTTTTACATTGACGTCAGAGACATCCTCCATATTTAGTCTCCCCGTGACCACGGCTGCTGCAAAGCATCCGAAACATCGAGCCGAAGTTAAAAATCATTTTCAAATAAGTTTAACTAATATATCGCATTTTAAACCGTTAAAGTGTTTTATATAAATACTTAAGGTATATTAAATGTAATGTAAGTACGGCCTAATGTTTGGAATGTTTTGCTGCAGCTGTGGTCATGGGGCCATTGCAAATGAAGGGTAACCCTTATGTCAAAGTCAAAGCTGCTTCGCTAGCGCGACCTCTTTCTTCGTACTTATAATTTGGGGAAACGGACTGGTCGGTTCATAGTAAAATTAGAAAGTTAAATATATTGCGCGTTAAAAATTAAAATGTACTTACTATATACGGGAAAATTACAGACTATACTTACTGCGTCTAACTGTAAACGTCTATGTGTATGTGTGGATGACGTGGGATTTTGTCGCGCGACACTTAGCTATTATATTATTGGTTAATCTGAAGAGAGCCTAAAGCAACCGCGAGTTTAGCAAACGAGCAGGCTCCTTCACTATCAGTTGATAACTTCGTAATTGCACTTTACTCTGCGGAAATAGGCTAAAAGCGGGAACGATGCGAACACGTAACACGGACGTGCCTGGAAACGTACTGCATTGTTTAACGCTAAGTGAAACATAGGAATAGAAACTTGAACCTCACTTCAAACGGAAAAAGTAAAAACTACTTGGTATGGACTTCGAGGGACTTCTTTTATGAAATGTATCGTGTTCGTTCGGATATGTTATTCCTGTTGTGTTTTTAGTATAGACGTTATAGTTTGTCGTCAAGGTAGGTAATATTTTTTAGATATTATTTATTTATTTATTTACTAAGGAAACTAAACAGTAGGTACAGTCTCTTATGATAACTTAAAACTAATTTTCTTATTGTCTAGGGAAAAAAATAAAATTTTATAAAAAATCCAAATGCATGTGTTAGATTTTTTTAAAAAGAGACCTAAATATATGATTATAGGCATTGGTTTTTATGAGATTTTAAGGATAACATGTAATATAACAAGAAGATATACTGTCAAAAGCTATTCTATTTCGTTAAACAAGATGTTATATTTCAGCAACGTATTTCCCATAATAACGGCAACACATTTATTGTATAAAAACGTCTAGGAATCTAACAAATAATGGTACCCCATTTATATATTCATTTGAAGATATTTATCTATATATTACACAAGGTTACGATGCTTAATTGACTTGTATTGATGCCAATTCAATATAATAAAAAAGTACATAATATATCACAACCTATTTATTACAATATAATAATGTACATCATACCTGAACTATCCAATGTTCAACCAACGTTCGCATTATAGGTATTAATACAGATATACGATTTTAAACATATTCTGAAACCTCTAACGTTCCAACAACGTTCCAACAACGTTCCAACAACGTTCCAACAACGTTCCACCAGCGTTTACCCTGCGATCGCTCCAGAGCCACTGCTCCCTCGCTTTACAGCGCACCCCCTTTTATACAATACAATTCACAAACAACCGACCAGGTGTTAGCCTGACGTCATCGAATAACACGAACATTACTTTTAAACATTTTGTAAACTACCCGCAGTTATACATCACAAAAACAATGATTTATTATAGATAACGTAGTATCTAAATAATATAGATATATTATTTAGATAACGTTTAATTATATATATATATATACAAAATAATTCAAATAATCTGTCACGGCCATACTGACATGTGATTTGTTCTCAAAGCACTTATTCTTACAAACAGAATTGTTGGTAATAATTATAACCAAGTTTATTTATATAAATATTCTAAATAATTCAAATAATCCGTTACGGCCATACTGACATATAATTTGTTCTCAGAACACTTTTGTACTTACAAATAGGATTGTTGGTGATAATTTGAATCGAACATCAAAAATATAATGTTTTTTAATACTTGAAATATGTAATCTATTAGAATCGAATATTTATTATTTAATCTTTCTTTTTTTTTTCTTTTTTTTATACCTCTCGATTGCATAGACGTGTCGAAACCCTCATCCGCTGCTTATGAGTCTAGTTTGCTTGCACCAAACAATCGAGCGACCAGCGGAGGTATTCCTATACCGATTACCTAGAGGCACTAGCCCCCTCACCCGCTGCCGGTGGTCTGGACTAGTACCAAGTAATCGGTCGACCAGCGGCTTCTTTTCTTTATACTGTCTACCTAGACGCACTAGCCCCCTCACCCGCTGCCAGTGGTCTGGACTAGTACCAAGCAAACAGTCGACCAGCGGCTTTAATTATTTATACTGTCTACCTAGACGCACTAGCCCCCCTCACCCGCTGCCAGTGGTCTGGACTAGTACCAAGCAAACAGTCGACCAGCGGCTTCTATTCTTTATACTGTCTACCTAGACGCACTAGCCCACTCACCCGCTGCAAGTGGTATGGACTAGTACCAAGCAAACAGTCGACCAGCGGCTTTTTTTTGTCGTTTCGAATTATCACCTCTCTTAAAAATAACAGTACATTAGTAAATAATTAACAATAATAGAAGCCAACTAAGAACAATTTTCGTCCCTATTTTCGTCCATCATTTCTCTAGGCTAATAACATCGCAATTTTTCTTTTGCAACTGTGCTAATACGTAAATTATCTAATTGTGGTCTGGGGCACTGCTGCCAAAAACAAATCTTAAACCATCACAATTTTCTCAAAATAACTGATATTACGATTACTTAACTTCAACTGATACGATTTATAAAGAGAATCGACTTATGACCATCAATCAAATCTACATTTATAGTATTCCTATATTTGTACTCAAAATATTAAATGGAGCCATCTAAACACAAATAAAGTTTCTAACTATCGTAAAAATAACATACTGCATGATGGTGCTAAAAC